CCCCCCCCCCCCCCCTGGTCAACTCGAATAGGACAAGCCCATCGAGGCCCTGCTGGCCTCCCGGCGCGTGCTGGTCTCCGGTCAGCGGGTCCTCTCGCTCCACGACAACTTCCTCCTGTGCCATGAGTACCCCTTCGGCGAGGAGCAGTGCCGGCCGGCGGCCTTCGTCTTTGCCCTGCAGCTGCCCCTCTTCCCGGCGACCCTGAGCTTCACGGCCGACTTTTTGCCCGCCCAGGACACCTGCCGGGTGCTCATCGACGGCCAGTGGAGCATCGTGGTGGACCTGGCCCGCGGCCGGCCGGTGGACTTCCTGCCCGGTGATGGGCTCTTGGCCCCCTCGGACCCCGTGCGCCCGGGCCCCTTGCCGCCGCCCGCATCCGCCACAACCATGGCCCATGTGCTGACGTAGCCCCCCCCCCCCCCCCGCCCCCCCGCCCCACGGACCACCATGGCGCGCAGCCTGCGCTGGCCCGCCCCACCGGCGGCACCGCCGCCATCCTCCCCCGGAGCCTGGTCGTACTCGACGCCAAGCAAGGCGCCCTGGCCTTCGAGCTGCTGGTCAAAAACCGGCGGCTCCTGCCGCCCTGCGGCCCGGCCCGGCTTTTGCCCCGCTGGGCCTTCCGCCCGGCCCGCGTCTTCCCGGACCCCCAGCCGGGGGTCGTGGCCATGGCCGCCGGCAATGAGGTGACCCTCCTTTCCCTGGAGGGGGGCGACCTGATCCGCGGACATCTCCGCCTGGTTCGTGCAGATGCCCGCGCACGCCCCCCCCCCCCCCCCCCGCCCTGCAACGCTCCATGCTTCGGGGCACACACAAACACACAGCGAGCAGACTTTCCACCTACCCTTCAATGGCCGCCAGTGTCTGTCCACCACGCAGCTGGACGACGGGTCGCTGGTGATGCAATTTGCCGATGGCTACTTCGACATGCTGTCCACCAATCCCGTCATGCATGCGTCGCGACTCTTCCCCTGGCGCGACACGGCCGGTGCGTCCCGCTGCTCCCCGGCCGCGGCCGGCCCTCGGCGCGCGGTCTCCTGGCGCTGACCCCCCTGCCTGCCTTTTTGATTGCCCCCCCCGCCGGAGGACCCAGGCTGCCTCGACCAGATTTGGGTCTGTCCCTGGTTCCCGCTCAGCTGGGTGGCCTACCACGCCTCGGGGGAGTTTGTCTTCCACTCGACTCTGCGCAAGCCCAACGTCACGGCCGAGCCCTGGGCCTTCGTCCCCGCCCGGCGGTCCTTCTCCCTGGGCGTGTCCACATGGCCACGCCCGGCCGCCTGCCAGCCGGGGATCACGCCCCCCCTCGGGGTGGCCTTCATCCAGCACAAGGACCAGCACTATTGCGTCCTCCTGTACGTCGAGGCGAGCTGCCCTCTCGCTCTCTCTCATCCTCTCGCTCTCTCGCTCTCTCTCGCTCTCTCTCGCCCTCTCGCTCTCTCTCGTCCTCTCGCTCTCTCTCGCCCTCTCGCCCTCCCGCTCTCTCGCCCTCTCGCCCTCCCGCTCTCTCGCCCTCTCGCTCTCTCTCGCCCTCTCGCCCTCTCTCCGCCCCCGCCCCCCTTCCCTCACCATAACCCACAGACACGGGCAGCGGCTGGCGCTCATCCCACGGCGTGACATCATCCGGCTATTCATCGATCCAGCGAGCCAGGAAACCCTGTCCAAGCCGCTGCTGTGTTGGATGCAAGACATCCGGGCTCCCGTGCAGGGGGACATCTGCGTACCCGGACCGTCCATCCAGCAGCGGCTCACGCACCCGACGGTGGTCCTTCGCCGAAATATCCCCTGGAAGTCGTCCTTCATTGTGCAGCCCTTCACCATGGAGAGCCTCACAACCTGCCGGACCCAGATCCCCATCAGGCTCTGGAGCCCGTCATGAGTGCCTGGCCCCTTTGCGCGCCCTCGCCCGGACATGGGCACCCACGCCGCCCACGGGCCCGGGCAATGGCAAGCACCAGGCCCCCGGCACGTGCCCAGCGCCCTTGGGGCGCATGCCTCCCCGGGCCCGGGCCCGCAGCCGTCCGGCGCGTGTGTCCAGGCAAAGAGCCTCAGCTCGATGCCCCCCCCCCCCCCCGAGCACTTGGCGTCACCCCTTCCCCGCCCCATATGCACGGGTGCCCATGGCCCTCGCCGCCCGCAGCCGGCTCCCAGGGCGGCCGCTTCCCGAAGGCCCGAGCCGGCCGCCGCCACTCGCCCCGGACGGGGGGGGGGGGACAGTGTCCCGTCCATCCGGTCCCGACCCCCGGCCAATGGGCCGATTCCCCTCTGGACAATACAGCCACCCTCCATCGGCCTTGCCCACGCGTGAGACCGAGCTTTTCTTGTTCATCAGCACCCAACGGCCAGCACCCAGGTCGACACACACACACACACACGCGCGCGCGCCTCCCCGACAGACGTGCCCACCGGGCTGTGTGCCCCGCCCGGCACGCCCACCCCGGCCAGGCGCACTGGCCCATGCTCGCATATGCCTCACGCGGCCGGGCCGGGCTCCATTCGCGCCCATGCCCCTCCGAGGGGCCCTGTGCCCCTCTTGGTCCTCGACGGGCTCGGGCTTCGTCGAGGCCGGCCCTCCCGAGAGACGTGCCTCGTGGATTTGCTCCCCGTCCCCCCCCTCTTTTTTTGGCCACTCAGCCGTAGGCAGGGACACCGGAGGGGCGGAATGGCCGCATCGCCTGGGGCGTGGCCCCTGCCCTGACCCCCTGGAGGAAGAACACCCCGCCGGAGCGGCAGCCCCGGCAATAGCCCTTCTTCCGCCCAGCGGGGTCCTCCCCCGGCGCCCGCCCCCCCCTCCGCCCCCGGGTCGCGAGCCGACCACACCAGGTCGGAGATCCGGACCGGGCGCAATGCAAAGGCCCCGCCACATGCTGAGGAGGGCACTTCCCCGCTTCGCACGGGGGGGGGGGGGGCGGGGGCCCGGCGGGTTGCCAGTGCGCGTGCGAGCCCAACGGAAGGTGCGCGGCTCGCGCCGGCGGCCGCGGGTGCCATGCCCGGCGGCCTGGCCGGCGGGCGCCGGCCCAAGCGAAGGCCTCCTGAAGCCCAGCCCCGAGCGTCCAAAGGCCCGGCTCCCGGCCCCGGCGACGGCCGGGCCCTCGACCCTCCGGGACGCATGTGCCTCTGGTGAAATGGATTTGGCCCATGTCGATCGGATGTCTCCAGACAAGGGGGGCCCCGATGGCCCGGCCCACGATCACCAAGCGCCCGGGTGCCATGCCTCGCCCGGCCGCACCGGGCCTCACGCCAACAGCTTCTCCCTGTTGCCGGTGGCTTGGAAATACTCCGCCTAAGAGCTGCGTGCGTGCATCGACTCCTGGTCGGGCCGCGGCTGCACATACTGGCTGGCCCGCCCGGCCAGCAGCCGCGGGACCCCGCCCCGAGCACCGGCAGCAGGCCCATACCCACCCCGGTCGGAGCCCCTGCCGAGCATGCCGAAACTCGCCCCACGGCATCGGGCCCTCGCCACAGCCCCCCGGCCCAAGCACCGGGGCCTGCACTCCGAGCCCCGCCCGGAGGACAGGCAAGCCGAGGCCAGCATGTCACCATGGCCCGGCGCCATGGCTACCGCGAGGAGCCAGCCGCCCGGATGTGTGGCGCCTCTGCCGCACAGCTTGCCCTGCCTCCCCGGGCACGCGGGGGCCACGCACGCCCTCCATCCGGCCTGCAATAGCAGACGAGCAGGCACCCCGGCAGTCAGGCGGGCCTTCGGCCGAATGGCCACCCGCGGGACTGCTCGTGCTGCCGGCTGGCCCGGGCCCGGGCCCGGGTCGAGGAGCGTGCCGAACTTGACGTGACCCGCCAGCCGCGGCGTATGCTGCCGCCAGCGCCCCCGTCCTCGGCCCGCTGGCCAGCACGCATGGCTGAAACCCGGCCAAGGGGCGGGCCGGAGTCTCGAGAAGGGGCGCATAAAAAGCCCCCGCGAAGACGCCCCGCTTAGACGCCCTGGCCGGAAACCCCAGAAGGGGGAACAAGCACGAGGCCGGCACCAGGCCGCACACGACACACGCGCCAGCCCTGGCGCGGCTGTGCGAGCCCGCCCGCTCGGCACAAGTGGCTCCTCGTCCTTTTCCCAGCTCCGCACCCTCAATCCGGGGGGGGGGGAGGCGGGGGGGTGCCGGCGGGAACCGGCGGCAGAATACCCCGGCCTCGGGAGTGCCCCTCGCCGACAAGGGGGCACGGGGCGAGAACGCGTGGCAGGGCCTCGCGGAGCGGCCCCGTCGTCGCAGACCCAGCTCCAGGGGGGCCGGTCTGGGCCCGAACCGCCGGCCACACCTCGAGGCCGAGCTGCGGGGCGGATGCGCTCGCGCGCTGGGCCCCCCTTCCGGCCGAGATCGTCCAAACGGGACAAGCTCGTGCTTACGCAAGAACGGGACACATACGCCCGCCAAGCGCGCGCACACACGCAGGAAACCCCGTCGGCAAAAAGGCTGCTGACCATGAAACACTCTGCGCCCTCACCCTTCCAAAAAAGCTCCCCTTGTTTCGATCTGATGTATGAGCACAAGCCCCCCCGCAGATCTCCGTGCTGAAAGGCCCCCGGCCGTCATGCCGGAAACATGGCCACCGCCATCGGCCCGGCTGCCTGCCCCCTCGCACCCCTGCCCACGCGGCCGGCCGCCGGTCCTCATGGCTACTCCCTCGGCTGCCGACGCACATCCTCCCGGCAGGGGTGCGTGTCTTCGGTCCGCGGCAGCCCCTATCCGGCCGATCTGGCTGGCCTCCGACCGCAAGGGGGCTACCGCGAACCGAAGACACGTCCCCCTGCCGAGCCGGGCGTCGCTGCCCATCGCGCTGCCCATCGCGCTGCCGGCAGGGCCCGGCAGCCTCCGAGCGCCCTCGGGTCAGATACACACCGCGCTGGACATTCGCCCGCCACCGGCCGCAGGACACCCCGCTCAAGCCCCGAGTAACCGAGTCGCCCTCCGCCAGGCCCATGTTGCATGTTGTGCGTGCCTCCAACCTCCATGCGGCCAATGCCCCCGACCCCTGGCTCGGAAATTGCCAGCGGCGCCCAGGTGCGCCAGCCATTCCGGGCGCCGGCCCGCCCGCGCCCGCATGCTCCGGCACGGCGGGCAAACACAAACACTGAGGGGGAAAAAAAAAGGCCAAAGATATTCATCCGTCAGATGCGCGCCCTCCTTGGGGCCATTCGCCGAGTGGCCGGCAGCCACCACAGCCCCCGGAAACAGCTCAATATGTGGAAACCCACCCGGTCAGGGTCCCTCCGCTGGCCCGCGGCCACGCCGGGCGCCGAGGGACGACAAAGCGCGGCGGACGCCCTCCTGTGGCCGGTCCCAGCATCGCCGGCATCCGCGCAGGGATACACCGGCCAGAGGCGGGACATGGCCCGGTCTGCCGGGGGTGCCCCGGGCCGCCGGGCCCCGGCGGTGGTGGCGGACTCGTCGGGTCTTGCGGGGCGGGGCCGGGTGCAGGCCAGCATGCTGCCAGGGAGGGCAGAACCCCCCCGCGCGAGGAGGTCGCGACGCCGGGAGGCCGGGGCGATCCTCGCGTGAGACCACCCGGCGTTGCAGGAGGCGTGCCCGGCACAGAATGCCACCCCGGGGGCCCGGACACACCACCGCCCACGGGAGACCACCCCCGGTCAACCACACATTCGCTGGCCTCCCGCCCCCCTATAAAAGGCCCCCCTTCCTCGGCGTTCCCAGCCCGGGAGTGAGGCACGTCATGGTTATGTGTCCTGATTATTATTGCCCTTATCGTCCTGACCTTTTGTCACCCTCTCATCCCTGCTCAGAGCTCCCACCCGACGCACGCCCGTCCGCGCATCTCCCCATCCATCACCCACCATGCTATCTGCCTCCTTTCATCGAATTAAGCCGCTACTTCAGCAGTTCCAAGCCCGTGGCCACCAGGCCATGCGAGCTCGGAGTCCCACCAGCCGGCAGCCAGCTTCGCATGCGCGGCCTCAACAGACCGCAGATGCCCCCTCCTCCCCCCCGCCCGCGGGGCGATGCTCCCGGGGCAGAGGCCGGCAAATGCACCTCCACCGTCGGCGCAGGGGGCAGCGGCAAGGGCCGTTCCATGCCCCCCGCCCGTGCGCGAATCCCATCGAGCCCCATCCCAAACACGGAAAGCACTTCACGCTCTCTGGCATTGTTGTGAAGCTTCTTGGTGCCCTTGGATTTTTCCCCACGGTCGACTATCTCCAAACCAGCGGCCAAATCCAGCTAGGACCCAAGTTCAGCGCGGAGTGGTATCTATTGTTTCGTCGCAATACCCGTCCTGGTCAGGAGTGTATGCCAGCCCTGGAGGGGAGATGCCGGAGACGTGCGACTGAGCGCGATGAAATGGTGACGAATTGTCTCCTTCTTGCTGAGCCTTAGTTCAAGGAAGGATCGGACACCCAAAAAAATGGCACCAGGGACATTGCCAAGCTGCTGAAAGCGACAACAGTACTTGTGCACTCGCGCCCTTCCCCTTCCATCTCTCTTTCTCTTTTTTCTTTCTCTCTCCCTCTTGCTCGCTGGCTCGCTGCTTCTCTTTGCCATGGCACCCACCGCCATGGTGGCCTCCTTGGCGTGTCACCCGCATCGGTCTTTCTTGCTTGACCTCTCGCTAACTCTTCCTCTGCTCTCGCGATGGGTGCCTTCGGCTCTCTAGGTCGCCCTTTCAGCTGCTCCGGACGGTCCCTGATGAGCCGATAACGTATATATATATATATATATACGTTATCGGCTCGCGGGGATGCTCCGCCGATGAAATAATTGAATTTCGTGCTTTTTTTTCGGGGGGGGAGGGGCGGCCAGTGCGAGATGGCACACGCCGCCGTGCGCCAGCATGCCGGCACACTTGCTCGGATATTCGCACGCTTGAACATCTTCCTTGCCCACACACTTGCCCACACGCTCGCCCGCCCGTGTGTAAGACGCAAATGGCCGGGCTTTCCAGAGCCATCCCAGCGCCGCCCTGCAGACGGGTCAACCCTGCGCGCGCCCGTGCCACCACCCCGGGCCACCGCCGCCCATGTGGCGACCGGCCCTGGCAAGAGGAAAGCCCCGCAATGTGGCAATGGTGCCCGGGACGCCGGACTCTCGCCCAGGCCCGAGCGTCTCCTTGTTGCTGGCTCCCCGGCCGTCGTGCTGATGACCGCCCCTGGCGACAGGGAACAGGGGGGAAGGGGATCAAGAGCATGGCGGCATCGTCGGGGAGCCCCCCCCCCCCCGCCTCCCAGAGGCAGCCGCACTCCAGGCGAGCCGCAAAGAAGAAGTCGCCTCTCCCTTAAGCCGGCCGGTGGCATTTCGGGCCCCGGCCGAGAGGCGCTGGGCAGATGCACGCGTGTCGGCGCGCGCGGATGCAAGTCCGTCCCGCCGCCCATGTTTGAGCAAGGCGGCGGGTTCCGACAAGAGGCACGGGCAAAACCGGAGGGAGGCACGGCAGAGGAGGAGTGTCCCCGGCACCGGTGGATCAGGCCCCGGCAAGGGCGCCGCATGCACACAATCACTTGCCTTCCTGCCTGTCGGCCCCCTGCGATGCGCATCCAGGTAAACATGTCGGCCCCCCCCCCCCCCCCCCCGACGCAAGGTAAGATCACACCACGCCCTCGGCCGGGAAGCAGGACGTCGGGCACTTTCGCCATGCCACTCACAGACAGGCATCGGACGTGCGAGGCCCCGGCATGCACCATTTCCCGTGCGGTCATGCTGCCGCGACGGCGGCGACCGCCACCGAGGCCCCTCCCTGCACGGCTCCCGCCGACCCGGCCCCCGGGCATGCCGCATCCGTCGAGTGCCTCGCGCATGCTGGGTGCCTGCGTACCCGATGTCCGATCGGCCGCTGGCGGGTGTGCAGGCAACGCCCGGCCCCTCCCCCCCTCCCGGGCGCCCGCCGTCCCCGGAAAAGGGGAGTGCCACGGTGCCCCCACCGGCCTGCCTTTTTCATGGTCCCCATCATGGGTCGAGAGACACAGGTGTGCCTTGCTTGCATCTCCGGGGGGCATTTGTCTGTACCATTGCGCGCGCACCACGGCCGGGCGGCCAGAGAAGGCGTGCCAAGGACGACCCCTGTCCATATTGCCAGGATGCGGACGTGCCCATCCTTCGCGAGGGTGGCAACGTGGCGCGACCCGGCGCTGGGGCGAGGCAGCCCATCGCCACGCCCGACACCCAAACCCGGCCGGGGAAAGTGTGCCCACGCGCGAAGACCACAGCAGAGAGCCCCCCCCCCCCCCCCCAGCCCCCCGCTCGCCGCCTCCCCTGGGCTCACTTCCCGACCGACGCCACCATCCCAGGGGACGGATCTCCTTGCAGCCAGGCAGCAAGGGCGGGACACAACTCCGCAGCCATACAGCCGTCCCTTGTTGGGGAAGGACAGCCGAGAGGCCGAGGAATGAGGCAACAGGACAGCGCCCACCGGAGCAAGGGAATGCCGGGATGGCGAACTGCTGCCATCTGGGGGCCGGCACGCGCCGCGCCGGGGGCGTCGCCGTGCACGGCAGACCACCCGCCCAGCCTGGGGACACACTCCCCCGCCAGGTGAGGAGAGACCGACAGACGGGGGGGGGGTCTAAAGGGGACACCGCTGGCTCGGCACCCGGCCGCGGTGCCCACATGTGTGGCCGCCCATCCTCCCCGGAGAAGATCCACGAGGCAAGCTCACAGGCCCATCGCCGTGAAAAGCCGGCAGGCAAGAGTGCGGTGGGGTACAGGAGAGAGAGAGAGAGAGAGAGAGAGAGAGATGCCACGCCGCCTCATTGGGTGTCGACACGGAAACACACGCGGGCTCGGGCGAAGAAACACCGAGGCAGGCCACACCGAAGGCCCACTGCAGCGCGTGCCCCACCCGGAGCACGGGCAGGTTCAATCGACAAACGAGCGCACACCAGCCGATGGCCAGCCCCTCGCCAGGCAGATGACCACGGCCATGCGCAGGCCGGGGACCGGTCTCGAGGCTCTGGTGGCTGACCCGCGGAAGGCTCGGTCGCTGCAGGTGCCCGGCCGACGGCGAGCGCACACCCGGAATCAAAGGCCGCAACAAGCACCGATGAGTGGGGAGACTGCCAGCAACACGGCCCCCGGTCTCCTGTGATCGAGCCCGGCAGAGGGAAGAAGAGGCGCGCACGCGCACACACACACACACACACACACGCGAGTGGAGGGCCTCCCGGATGTCAAGGCCTGTCGGCGTGCGAGCGGGATGCCGACCCCGTCGCCCGTGCGGGGCCTGGTCCCCGCCATTTTACCGCGCGGTCCCAATTCCCCCCTCGGCAGCTGCCCCGCCCCCTGGCCCGCTGGAGAACACCCACGAAAGGGGCCCCTCGTGGCTCGGTCTCCGGCGTAGGGCCACGGGAGCAGGGCCAACAGGGGAGAGCGCAAAGCCACGGAGGCGAGCACAAGCACAGGCGCGAGGAAAGCCGGCGCGTGGGGCGACCACCAAGCGAGGGCCCCCCATGCGCGACGTGCAGCCGGCTGCCAGGAAGAGACAAGGGGAGGCGCAGGATGGGATGGCACCGGGACCCGGCGGGGGGCCGTGCACACCGCCGCAGGCAGGGCACATGTGCACGCACGGTGGCGACGGCCGCCGCGGCACCGGGGGATACTGCGCGTCCTGCCGCGTCGGACCCTCGGCTGGCCTCCGTCCACATGGAGCAACTGTCCACCGGTGGTCCCACCATGGCGGAGGGGCGGGGATGCCAGGCACGTGCGCGGCCGGGCCCGGCGCGACGCACACACGCGCCACTGCCGCGGCTCGCCGAAAAGGACAAGAGCTTTGGCCAGGCGCGCGACAGGACGGGGCCACGGGCGGCCCACATCGAAGGGGGGGTGAAACATGGCCAGGCAGGGATGCGGGTCGCCCGGAAGCGGCGACACCTCCCGGCACACGCACCACGCCCCAGCTGGGGAAGCGGGCGGCAGGGACAGGCGCCGATGGGCCACGGCGCACCGGAGCGCACACGGCCCCCGGTGCGGCTCGACGGGTGCCAGGACAGCCGGCAAGCCGCCGTGGGCAACTGGACACACCCGGCAGTCGCCAAGACACCGGCCCACGCTGGCCGCCCGTCGCGGCCCAAGCCAGCCCGCTGGCAGTGGCCCCGGCTCGCGAGCACCCACTGCCCCGACCCGCCGGCTCCCTGCCGGACCTGGCCGCCCGTCGGACCCGGCGCTCGGCCCCGAGCCCCGGTCCCCGCGCCAGGGCACCGGGCGGGGGGCACTCCCCCAGGCCGCGGACGCGTCTCGGTGCGTGGGCCTCGTCCGGGGGAAAACAAAACACACAGGCCTGGGGCCAGCTGTGCCGGCCCCCGGGCGCCCGGTCGGGGCGAGCCGAGGGGCGGCCATGAGCGAACGAGCAGCCAGCAGGGCAGAGGCCCGCCCTCGGACCGAGGCAGACATTGCCGCCGGCACGAGGGGCACGCCTGGCCATGGCGCCCGCGAAGGGCCGGCGAAAAGGGCAGCCCCCCGCCCCCCCCGGTGTGCACATGCTTCCCGAGCCGCCAGGGGAGGAGGACAAACCAATGGCCCGGGCAAACCCGATGCACGGCCCCAGCCGGCCTGCCAGTGGGGTGGCATGCACCCGGGCCTCGCGCGCCGCCGGGGGCCGGCCACCGAAGGGCCCCATGCCCGGACCGAGGGGAGGCTCCCGCTGGCCCACTGCCCGGCCCGAGGACGAGTGCGCGCCGGTCGGCCTCCCTGCACGATGCATGCCAGTGGACCGACGCGCGTGCGCATGCAGGCGCACAGGGCCAGGGGCGCGGGCTCGACGCCCCGGGGCATGCCCGGCGACATGGGCCGCCGCCGGGCCCGTGTGCCCTAGCACTCCCCCCCCCCCCCCCCCCGGCACGAGCCGTACCAGGGCCCCGAGCATGCAGACATGTCCATGGTGACAAGCCGCGACATACGTGCAGCAGGCCGCCGAGGCTGCCCGGGCGCAAGCAGCACAGCTCGTGCACGCCATCCACAGCCGGGAGAGAGGCACCTGGCGAGATCCCGGCCGGCCGCCCCACCAGGCGACCATGTCGCGGGCCCCCGGACGACCCGCCGGACAGACCGGCACACGGGGGGACCCATCGGCGCGCGGCCAGCCGGCACGCCCTCCCACGCGCAGCCCCCCCGGCCTGACCGACCGCAGCCAGGCGATGGCCATCGCCCTGGGACACGGCACAAGCGCCCGGGCCAATCGGCGGCTCCCGGCCGGAGCGCCCCACAGGGAGCCGGCGGCCTCCCGGACACCACGAGGCCCGGGGCAAGGCCCGGCACTCGGCACAAGGACGGGCACCCATCCTGCACGGCCACCAGGTGCAGCGCCTGGCCCGGGGCCGCCAGCCGCCCCGGCTCCGCAGGGACCGTCGCCCTCCCCGCAGACAGAGCACCGGGAAGCTGCATGGGCCGTGTCGGGCACATGTGCAACTCACCGACACCGGCGCCGGGGAGGCGGCCCGCTTTTTCTGCGTGGGCGGCGGCAGCACCCCAGGACCCGGGCGACGGACGACCAACAGAATGGTCGCCGAGTGTTGAAAACGGGCCCCCGCCCAGCGGGTCAGGCGGGCAGCCAAGGGCGATGCTCACCGCCCGCAGGGGTGGGACGCCACACCTGTCCCTTCCGGTTGCCTGGACCACTGGACCGCCGTGCTCCGGCAGCCAGAGACACAGAGGGAGCCGGAGGAGGGGGGCGGGCAAGGAAAGAAGGACACCCATTCGCCGAGCCGGCACTGGCGCACACGTGCCCCGGGCCCGGGCCAAGTGCCGGCCATCCTCGCATATGGCCGACAACCGCCGAGCCAGGGCGAAGGGGGCTTCCGGTCGGCCAGCCGCGTCGAGCCAGCGGTGCCCGGGTCAGAACGAGCCGCTCGCTTCCTCACACTCGCGGGCCCGGCGCTCCGTGGAGGATGCGCGCCCGGGCCGACCGCAGGGGCCCGACGTCGGCGGGCATCGGCCGCAGCACGACCCCACAACAGAAAGGGGCGGTCCGCCGGTGCCGGCCGCGGCCGGTCGCGCGCCTCGCCCGATGCCACGCGCCACGCGGATGAGGCCCGGCGCCGGG